ATGAGTGATGAAGGGGGGATGGATGGATGGATGGATGAGTGATGGAGGGGGGATGGATGGGTGGATGGATGAGTGATGAAGGGGGGATGGATGGACAGACGGACAAAGGATGGGTGGGGGGATGAATGGATGGGAAGCTGAGCACCTGTATCTGTGGGTGGATAGATGAACAAGCGGGCAGGTGGACAGAAGGTTCTTTGAGTCCCTACCAGGGGGTGGGAAGGTGCAGGGAGTCAAAGGGAATGGCAAGAGGCAGGGCAGAGCCCCACCCAGCCCTGGGGGAATCTGGGCAGGATCGGGGGAGGCCTGCGGGGACGGCAGGGCTACTCACAGATGTGCTTGGTCCAGCAGTAGGTCTCAGAGTCAGTGCAGTTCCGCACATGCTGGCAATCGTGGTTGCTCGCCCGGGCCTTGCAGGAGAAGCACTGCAGGGCGGTGCCTGGGGGGTGGGGGTGCTCAGAGTGGGGAAGCAGCCTCCTTTTCTCATCTGTCACAGCTTCCAGGTTGCTGGGAGTGTGCAAGAGCACAAGAGCCCACTGCAAACTGGGACCCCCCGTTAGTGGGAAGCACTAGTGCCCAGGGAGGGCACTCCACTCATCAAAGTCCCCCAGGAACGCTTCTCTGCCCACCTGCTGCCATGGCCCCTGGAACCCACGGTTAGTGCCCCAGCTCACCCCTCTGTCAAATGCCCGTGGTCTGAGACAGAAGGGAGTGACTGCAAACCGGTTCCCCCCGCTTGGCAGGCGGCCCAGCTGGGCACTGGGCAGGTGAGGGCAGGGTGGACAGGACCCTTCCCAGAATTGCTCCTGCCACCAGGCATCGAGGCCCTTCCATTACTCTCTCTAAAAGCCTGTGCAAGCCCGACCCAGCCTCCCAGCCCCACTCAGGCCTCCCCAGTGCCAGGAGACCCTGTGTGGGCCCCTGGCCAGGCCCTGTTCTGTCCCCGGGGGTAATGGCCCCAGATGGCATGATAAGGTCCCTTCCGGTCAAAACAATGATGGGATGGGATAAAGTCACCCAAGCATAAGCAGGCCCCATGCTGCTACTCCCATGCTCGGTCACCACACACACTAGCTGACTCCCAGCAGCCATTGTCATGACCCCCACTTTCCAGAAGAGGAAGCTGAGGCTCTAAGAGACTTAGTGAGACTGAGCTGGGCTTGGAGTGCAGACTAGAGCAGCTGAGGCCTGCACCTTTCCCCCGGGACCCCAGCCTGGGTGTCTGCTGTCCTTGCTGCCCACAGTGGGCCCCAGGGCTGGGCCTGGGAAGAGGCCCCAGGTGGTCTCAGGACACCCCCAGGCTCCCCCCTTTCATTCTGCCCTCCTTGCCTCCATGGCACTTCTTACCTTGAGGCTTTTTGTCCCTGTGCCTCCCCCAACCCTGCAGGCTCCCCGTGCATCCCTCCGCTGGTGGCGCTCCAGGAGCCAGGCCCTGCGCCACGGTGGTAAAGGAGAACGCCATCCTGGCCGCCTGCCTCTGGGTGAGGCCCTGCTGCACCCTGGCTGCACTGGGAGCTGCCCGGGGGTGACACGGGCAAGGACCAAAGCCCCTTCTTCCTGCCGCTGCCTCTCTTACCTCCCACCTGACTCCCTCCCCCCGCCCCCACCTCCACCTCCTCTGTCTGTCCTTCTGGGTGGGCCCCTCTCTGAGTGCCCCTCTGGTCTCCCCTGATTATCCCCCCAGCCCTGTTCCCGTGGCCCTGCCCCATGGTGGCAGAGGTCTCACCTGGCCGCAGGGCCAAACCAATGGCCAGCAGGGTGAGGAGGACAGCCTTCATGGTCACCAGCGGGCGGCGGTGGGCTGGACTCAGGGTGGCTTTATAGTGCTTTGGCTGGCAAGGGGGAGGCTCCACTGCCCACTGTCAACAGGGACGGGTTCCCCGGCGCCAGCAAGTACTCCGGGGCAGGTAGATCCCAATCTCCGGCCGCTCTGCCAGGCTGCTCCCAGCCACTCCCTTTGTCTTTCTGTCTGCTTCCAGAAGGCAGGGCCTGCCCAGGGCAGGGGCCATTTCTTAGCCACCCCAGGGCGAGGTGCTGAGGTGCCACAGTGAGCAGTGAGGGCAGAGAAGGGTGAGTGGGGGGGTCAAGGTTGAGGGCCAGCCTCCCTTGGGCCCTGCTCTGCTCCCAGGGCTCCTGGTCCCCCAGGGGCAACAGGCCTTGAATGGCCACACACGAGAGGTGCCTCGGCGGGGGGCAGGGGGAGACCATTCTGGGAAGTGCCCTGGAGGCCAGAGGGGGGCTGGCACAGCCCAAGTACACAGGTGTGGTGCATTGAAATGTGTGCACGCTGGGGTGCAGGCTTAGCCCTCGTGACCTTCCTTAATCCCCACACACCATGGAGCTTTAGCTGCAAGGGAGTCTGGGAAACAAAGCATTAGCAGCCTCTATAGGAGGAGGTGGGAGGGGGTCGGCACCGCGCTGGACGTCGTCTGCAGCCCAGACCCACTCTCCACCCTGTTTGTGTCCTGGGATCCCATGAGGATCCCAAAGGGCTTCCACTGGCTGGAGACCTGAGGGTGAGAGGTGCAGAGGCTGGGCCATCTCTTCCGCTGTGCCCCAACAGCGAGGCTGCAGTGGCCGTGCGTGGCCATGTCCTGGGGGCCAGCCTCCTTCCTTCCCACCAGCCTCAGCCAGCCTGGGGTAACGGTCCCTTCCCCTCACCCCTCCAAGCCCCGGGGCCCAGGGGCTTCCTGCTGCTCTTGGCCTGGGGCCCATTCATGCTCCCCATTGTCCCTCTAAGCGTGACCCTCCCTTTGTAAACAGTCTCCCCATGACCCCTTGGAGTGTCCAGCTGGGTGCTGGCAGCTACAAGCCACGTCCACCGCCTGCTGACCCCATGTGTCTGGGGAGGGGACAGGCCCCTCCCAAGAGTGGAGAGAGCACCTTTCACTTCCCGATGCTCGCCTGGCCCTGGGATGGCACCTCTGACCTCACTTTGGCATCTGACCTCGTCCGCCTGGGCAGGGCCGAGTGCATGTTGCTGGCAAGGCCCTCGCTGGGGAAATGGGCTCCATCTCCCAGCTCTCCTGGGCAGTGGGGGGAGCAGAAAGACCCCCCTGGTGGGGGGCAGCTTCCACCCTCTCACCCTGAGTCCTGGATCAAGATAACACGGTGATGTGGGCTAGGGGTGAGACCCAGAGCTCCCTGGGATTTGCCACACCTCTGGGGTCTTTCCTGCACGGCTCCCTGGCACCCACCAGTTTGGGCCCTTTCCTGTGGAGGGCGTCTCTCCTTTGGCAGATGAGGAGCCTGGGGCCCAGAGAGAGACAGGACCTTGCTCAAGGTCACATGGGGGGGGGAGGTGAATGTGGTCCCTCCACCAGCTGCCTTTCTGGTCCACTCTGCCCGCTCAGAACTTTCTCCCTGAACACCCCCACTCCAGCCCACAGTCCCCGGTCCCATCGGCTCAGGTGCCTCGTGGTAAGATGTTTGTGACTTCACCGTTTCAGTGTATGGCTGTCTGCCTGTCGGCCCATGCCCAGCTCACTGGGACTGGGGGTGCCCTGGACTGGAGCCTTTCTTATCTGCCTTTTTATTCAAGGCACCCAGCACCTAACACAAGCCTGGAACATTCATTCCTCAAATATTGACAGGTGCATAAATATTTGTTAATCTGATTTGATATGAGGTGATTACTCTAAAGCAGTGGTTCTCAAGCAGGGGGCTTCTGGGCCCCAGGGGACATTTGGCAATGCCTGAGGACATTGTCAGTTGTCCCATCAGGGGGCTGCTACTGCCTTCCAGCGGGTGCAGGCCAAGAATGCCGCTCAGCATCCTGCACAGGACGCGCCCACGACAGAGACACATCCAGCTTGATGTGAACAGAACCGCAGGGGCAGGAGACCCGCCCAGAGCCACGGGGACGAGACTGCTGTCCCACTGAGGACGGAAGGTGGAGAAGTAGACCAAACAGGGAAGGACATAAATTTTGGGGGGCCAGGGGCAAAAATGCTATGGTCTGAATCGTGTCTCCCCCAATTCCTATGTTGAAGCCCCAATGTGGTGTATTTGGAGGTGGGGCCATTGGGAGGTAATTAGGTTCAGATGAGGTCATGAGGGTGGGGCCCCCACGATGGGGTTTGTGCCCTGATAAGATCAGACACCAGAGCTCCCCCCACCAGGTGAGAACACAGCAAGAAGGGGGCCGTCCGCAGTCCAGGACGTGGGTCCTCGCCAGAACCCGACCCCGCCGGCACCCCGGTCTCAGACTTCCAGCCTCCAGAGCTGTGAGAAATCAGTCTCTGTTGTTTATGTCACCCGGTCTGTAGTCACTTGTTACAGCGGCCCGAGCTGACTGAGCTCATGGCCTATAAGCCATAGCTGAAATCCTGAAGCCCATGGCCACAATGCCCTAGACCCCGGCACAGGCTGATCTCTGACCTCAGTCCAAAACTAAGCCCTCACTAGGGTCACAGTCTGAGCCCTGACTCTGCTCACCAAACGAGCCCTGACCCCGGTCACCCAGAGGACCTGGCCCCGGTCACTGACTGTGTCTTGTCCCATTACCCATGCTTTGGGCACATCCTGAATACAGCCCCTCAGCCTAGACTAAGCCTGGATCCTCTGGCTGTCCCACTTTCCGGGAAGGTCTGTCACTAAGGGGCATGAGTCCCTGCAGTCCCTCCCTGCAGCGGACAGGGTCAGGGTGGGGCTTTGGTATGACTCACCCTTAGCGCCCTTCCTCGCCTCTGCTTTGCGGTCACCTTCTGGGGCTCCAGATTTTCCTGTTCTCGCTCACCTCTCCACCTACCTGCCCAACCCGTTGGGTTCCCTGGAGATCCTGCCTGCTCACATTTCCCTTCTTGCCAGGACGGAAAGCAGAAAGCCGGGGCTGATGGGACCAGCAGCAGGGCCAGGCCCTGGGAGGAGGCAGGATTGCTGACCCCACCTCGTGCAGGGTCCTTGCCAACAGACCATGACCTCCCAGGGCTGCTATGTGAATGGACACCAGTTCTGGATGAATCTTTTATTTTAGGCAGAATTAATTTAAAAAATAAAGATGGTAGGTTCCATACAAAACCACCACTGATTTCACCTTCCACTTCTGTAGACCTTTTCCTTTAGAAAAATGCATTCGTAAAATCGAGAGGGTCATCCACATGCTGCCAGACCACTGACAACTGGGGAAAGCACGCCCAGCACCCGGCCTCCCATTTTGGGCTCTTGAAATTCAGGCATCTTGCAAGCTCTGTGCGTGCGTGTGTGCGTGTGTGCGTGTGTGTGTGTGTGTGTGCGTGCTTGTGGGTATTGGGGGCACTGAGTCCCATGACGGGCCCTGGGAGCCTGCTTCTCACCCCCGGTCCACCACGGCCAAGCTCCCACGGCCCACCACCAGCCTGGGTGCCCGATCATCTCTGATTCTGTGAAGGGCCTCGCGCCCCAGAGGCGGGTCCTCTTCCTGGTCCTCACAAAGGTGTCCTATGTACACCTTTGTCCTATGTACACTGGAGGCTCTGCCCCACACCCGACCCCTCCTCCGTTCCAGCCCCCTGCTGGGTCCCTCCTCCTCTGGTGCCTCTCAGATCTGTCCCTCTCTCCTCCCTCCTGGAGTGAGGTCAGGGAACCCAGGAGACCCGGCCCACTCAGGCAGCGCCACCCCTCTGCCAGACGGTGTGGAATTCACAAGCACCCCAGCCTGGAGCCAAAGCCCCCTCTTTGCTGTGAGAGACTTGTCACCCCAAGGCCCCCGCTCTGGGGACTGACTGGTGATGTTTCCCCACCTGAGGCCTCCAGGATCCGAGTGAGTGGTTCTGCTGCGTCCAGGCCTGCCTCCAGGTGGAGGCCTGCAGGCTGAGGGACAACATGCCCAGAAGGGGCTCCTGTGGCGGGCCTGGAGGGGGCAGGGAGAGCCAGTTGTGGTGTGGCCTGCTGGGGACCTTTCTGTGGAGCCCACTGGGATGCGAGGGGTGGGGCGGGGGGTGATCTGCTCAGAATGACGCTCTCAAGGCCACTCTGGCTGTGAACAGGGATGGGGAGGCTATCGTGGTGAGCAGGTGTGGTCTGGAGACTCGGTCCTGTGCATGGGGGGTGATAGGGAGAGGGGAGTCCTCAGGAGACACCACATCTTTCTTCTCCTCCTCTTTCTGACCCTTTCTTCTCTGTCAGTGTGGGCTCAGCCCTGGAGATGCGGCCCAAGGGTCCCGGAGTGATGATGGGAGCATCTGGGGGAACCCCATGCATCTTGGGAGTCAAACCCCAGGCCCCTGCCAGCCCCATGCCGGTTTGGGGAGGTGCATGCGATCCCATGTCCATGAGGTGGCAGCAGAGTGTCACCCACAGGGATGGAGCCAGCCTTCCTGGGGGGGTCACCTGGCTGCCCCCAGAGACCCTGCTCAGTCCCCCTCGAGTTATGCTCAGTGGCCCCAATTTTCTCCTCTGTGAAACACATCTGCTTCTAGCACCTCCAAATTCTTGACCCACAGAACCACGTGCAGCAAGGTGGTTAGTCTCAAGCCACTGAGTTTGGGGGTGCTTCATCATGCAGTAGTAGGTGCCTGCTGTGGGGGCAAAGACAGAAGCAAGGAGGCCAGGGGGACTCGGGCCAGGGAGAGAGCAGCTGTGGGCATGAGGAGATCAGATGAGGCGCGGATGGGGAGGGCAGAGCTGGGCAGAGCTCCTGGTCAATCAGGGCGCAAGGCACAGCTCGAGTTAAGCGTGACTGAATTTTTGGCCCGAGTGAATGCAAAGATGACAGTGCCACTCACTGAGATGGGGAGTGCGCTGGGCGCCTGGGTGGCTCAGTTGGTTAAGCGACTGCCTTCGGCTCAGGTCATGATCCTGGAGTCCC